TTACCCAATATAGGATCATTCGGTTTCACAAAGGTCATTTTCGATTAGTATTATATATGCTAGAATTTGAACAAAAATGCAACTTTTAAAAGTGAAATAACACACGTATGAATTTCAGGTAGTTTTCAGTGAAATAGTTTTTATCATGGTAGACAAAACATCGTAATTATCCATGGCGTGAATTTCAACAGATTTTGAGTTGGGTGAATAGCTAATAACTAAAATCAGTTTTCATGATTTTTAGTAATTGCGGAGTAAACGTATTATATGCATTCATAGTTTCTGATAATCGTTTAATTGTATTTGTGTATTAACTAAGGTATTGCCATTGGTTACTTCTAGGCCATTATTGCAGGTATTCTTGGAATCGCTGTGAGTCCACATGCAAAGAAAAACGAACATCGCCCTGAGGTGAGTTCATTGAACCATTGCCTTGAAACGAGTAACGTCATTGGCCGACTGCACGCGTACCACAGATAATGACGAGACACAACGCAACGCATTATGGACGAGTAATACCAATGCCTCGTACTTACTATGTCATGTGCACTTTTTTTTAAACTAACAATATTTCTCACAGACTGACTAGACATCAGTATGTGGTTCGATTATAACTGATTCTTTAGAATCATTCCAAGGTCTATGGTATAGGCTAACATGCTGGGTGATTTGCAGAATCGTGTATGTACATCACGTGTTATTAAGAAGACAATTACATAATAGTTTTGTTTTGTTTTGGTAAGCAAATACTAGTACACATTTAGACGCAGTCATTCTACAAAAACGAAACTCACAAACATATCTTTTCACAGTACTTTGTGATGCACATCGCGTATTGCGTCGTCTCCTTGGGTGGTGTGTTTACATTTATCTACGGTGCATGGGGAGCTTTAGTGCTGAGAAAACATCTACCAGAAGCCCACATGGCATATATCCTGTACATGAGTTCTGGTTGCACGGGAATATTGTTAACAACCATAAGTATTCTCAACTATTTGGACTTCATCGATTGCTGTTATACCCCGCTAGAGAAAGAGGTACTTTATTGATATGTTTATGCTGTTTAATATTTTAAAACTGATGTTTACAGACGTAGCTGTCTTGTATTACGGTGTCTGAGAATTCTACGCCAGGCTCATATTATTTTCCCAATATATTAAGAAATATACATGCAGTCTCACAAAGAAATCTCCTGTGGGTAGAATATTTTAACATATTTTAAGTCTCCATGCGTATGTTTGTATGACTGAAGTTGCTGCTAATCTCCTTCCGATCAGGTTGTTCGTAAGAATGACTTGTAAGTTAACAGCGTATTTGACAGTGGTGCTCAAAATATTAATTAATTAATCAATGACCTGATACATTTTTTCATCTGCTTTAATATTTCAGAAGTTGGATTTGGCAGCTACTTTCAATCTGGACGACGCCCACGCCAAACCCGAACGAAACAACGCTGTATGAAAAGTAATTCAATGACGTTTTGTGAGGCGTTCGACTGAAATCACAGCAGTTCTTTTATAGTGCAGTACTGTTTGGTTTTTGTTAGACTGGAGAGATCGATTGGTGCCACAGAGGGCGCCATATCTAGACTGTTTATTGAACTGCAGAGAAAAACATAAAGTGCCGGGAAGGTGAAATTTGTACATTCGCACACTCTATACTAAGACGGACTTAAAATATTTATACTTCGCTTCACTAACTTAAAATAATAATTAATAATTGTTGATATTTTTAACTATCAATATTAAAAATATTTGTAATAAACATAATATTAACCTGTAGAATATTTTGATATGATACTCAAAAAAATATTCAAATTTGATAAGGTCATGCACGTGTGTATATATCACCTATATGACTGGGTCTGTTCCGACGTAGCAATCCTACAAGACACGTACGCGTCTACAAGAAAATGTCTAAAACATCATGATGGATTCAATTTATTTCAAATTGGAGTCACAATCACAATCGTGCTGCGATTTAGATAAATATTATGAGTGGCATACTCTCTTAGCTTTTTTTTTTACGCCCACTTGGGAATAGCATCTGACGATCATTCAGATGGAGCACTCGTTCTGTCTCCCTATCATCGTAGAGGGCGTTACGTACATGCCTGTGAAAATACGAATAACGTGACGGAGACGACATAGTATCATGTTTGACAGTGTTCTATAACTGCGAGGCAGTAAACGGTCATTATAATCCTCACGATGAAAATTATATCATTCAATGATCCCGAATGTTGGGCACCAACATCTTTCTGTCAGTGTTCGAGTTCATGGAGTTTGTTGAGGAGTATACCTCGTGATCACAATGTTTTACATCCATCTAAGTTAAGACGTGTGACGTTCAATTCATTGATGGGATTTGATCAATGGACTTAAATATTGATTAATACAGTTTGACGAATAAGGGTTGGGTTCGGATCAAACAAACAGGAATTCTCACATGAGAACACGTTAAATTGTGGCGTCCATATACTAGTAATAATTTCCTAGATCCCTCGCCCCATATGACAGTATAACAATTACCAATCTATTCACAAAATATCATCAATCTATTCAAACTTTTATTAAACTGTATTGATTAATGTTTTGTTTAATTCTAGTGTAATTGAAATTAACTTGAAAACAATCGAGACAAATGAAATGCTTTACAAGTGTTCATTATTTCATAGTTAACAATTTATATTATTTTGATTCAAAACAAATGTAGGGAACACCAAAGGATAGAAAGGTGTTGTGATCTCGGAACAACGACTTCGCTGCTTAAAATATAACCACCCTCTCCACGACTTCTACGGAAAGTTTCATGTCAGCTTCTTTAAGGTTTGCAGTGGGGAATTATGACAAGTAACACCATGGCTTAACTTGTCTCTCATTACTTGCGCTGCAAATTAATTGTTCGGTGTGTAACAAACAAATAGTTACCTCATTATCGGCCAATGCTGTAAAATATTTTATTTCCGCTTGGAATTTATTTTCGCTGAAGGGTTGATTCAGTGAAAAGTATTTTATAGTATTCAATAATCCCAAAAAAAGAAATTATTCGGGAAGTTGTCCGAGGCATAGAAACTGATTATTTATATTTATTTGTTATATCATTGACATTATATGGTAATCGTAGTAGGTATTCAAAATAGCTAGACGTTTAGAGCAATGGCTTAGAAGAACATGTATTTATCATCACGGAAACCACAAGTAAACAACATTAAACGACGCTTTTGGAGCAATTATTTTATTCCGTCATATAGTACTAATATGTAATACCAGCTAGACAGACACTAATGTAAATAGTATGCAAACGGCTAGAGATATTTTTTGTACAGAGAAAAAAACAAACAATATTACATCTTTCAGACTACAGATTTATATACTGTAATAACACTATTTGATTTGTATTTATTTGGCACCACATTACAATGTGGCTATTTCCAAAAATATCCTTGGAACAAAACTGATCCTAGCAAGTTACATCGTCCGTATACAAAGCAGATTGCCAGACACATGGGACAAAAGGCGGGGCGACCGCAGAACAAGAAATGATATTTAAATAATAACACATGCTTGTGAGGGTAATATCGGCGAGGGCATCATCAATTATGGTCATGATCAACAGCCCGAAGGCAGACAACAAATCGTGATATTGCCCGAATAACCATGTGTTATTTATTTTATCACATCGAACAGACATCCACCATGACAATCACAGCTACCATACATCACTCACACCCGCTCTCCCACAAAATAACAACTCTTATATTGAAGTATGCAATATTTTATTTTATCTATTATAACAAGTTTCACATTACTTAATAACATACATACATTGTTTGCTGAAAAAACAACGAAATACACTCAGTAAATGTTATTTTCAGCCATGTATAGTCTATTTATTTGAACCGTGTTTCAGCAGTGTGGATCACTCAAATTATCGAGAATAACATTTTTGAAATGAACTGAGAAATTCTCAAACGCAAGTTATTTGATCACTATACAGATAAAAAATGTCAGAGTGCCATGGAAGTGACTGAAATTACCTTCTCACGAACGTACCACACCTACAAGCCACACAGCTTTGTTTAGAGCGTTTTCGCGTAGAACGCGCTGCAGCGACCCCGGCTGCGACGTTTCAGTGGCGGCTTTGCCGTACATTTTCGCTCCATATAAAAAATACCCTATACATCAAAACAGAGTATCTTACTTAATATCCATTCTGGCACGTTCACTGTCTATTTCGGATGGCTAAAGTTCCTTCAAAACCCTGAAAGCAACCCCGAAAGCAACAGCGGCCAGAGCAGCACCAGTGCAGCGAACGACAATTTGTTATGCGCAGTATCGTTGCGCAGTAGTTTCAGTGACGTCATCCATGTGATATACCCATGTAATATCCACTTGGCGGGCAATATACCATGTAATATCCATTTTTATTCCATGTCATGTGACCGAGTCAACCAATCATAGCATGCGTAACAGCAGTGAGATGTGATAATCATAAATTCCACATTCACATCGCAGGATTATATATATAGAGCACCACTAGCGATGGCAAAGGGATATAAATTCGCCAGCGAGAAGGTATGATGCGACGTTTTCTACCGTAACTCTATTTGGGGGGGGGGGTCACATTATTATATTACAACAACACAAATGTAGTAGCTGAGTAATAATTTGGGTTGCCTATACACTTGTTTATAATGTGTTTGTATCTTATGGAAACTAGAATACCGTATACCAACACCAGAATCCGGACTGTCCGCACTCGATGCTAAATGTGACGTGTCATTTAGCATTCACTTTTTTTTCAATTTAAATATCTCAATATTTCCATTACATGACAATACTGTTTCTGGTGATATTAACAACGATCGATTCTTGCATGTTTTGTAAAAATCATTACATCTGGGCGTTTGTTTTATATTTTTGAATAGTATTTTAATAGTATTGGTAGGGGATTACTCGTCATGAGTTATTTTTTTCTATTAATTCCAATACTACGTAGGATTTGCTCCACAGTCTCTCACGTAAACAATATACCATATTTGTCTTTTGATTGTGTTTGCTGAATTTTCCTTTATAGTGGTAATGTCCACGCCTTCACTATCTGTCATACACCAATACATGGAAACTGTTGCAGCGGCTGAGCTAGGCACTGATGTTCTCTATGCTACCAGTTTAGGAGCTGAATTGTAGAGTTAAGCGGGTTATTATAGTGGGTGTTTCGCGTGACACCATGTCGTGCATCGGACTGTGTAGCTACGCAAGATCCGAAGAACAGGTAATGTCAGCCAGAAACACTTACTTTGGGTTGGGCATTTGACGATTTGCTGATATAGACTGATAACTCTTAAAATGGGTATATATAATAGACGAGTTATGAGAATTTTGAAATTGACTCATCATCCTGAATAAATATTAATTGAAATATATATATTAATATATATATTAATTGAATATATATATATTAATAAATATATATATTAATAAATATATATATTAATTGAAATATATATATATATATGTATATTATTGACCAATCACAGACAGTGCTGTTTTGAAATAAATCTATATATTTTCAAAGCAATAGAGTATATTACTTTTATTATATTCATATTTTAACTCTCAAGTAATGACTGCATTATACTGAATATTACTACAACATTACTATTTCAGGCTGAAGTCCCTGTGACGGTAATGGAAGGACCTGATTTCGAGTATCCTGGTTCAGTTGAACCTGGAGTGCCACAACCACCGCCATCTTACGGCAACAGTAAGTTACAATATTCCCACGTTTAGTTTTATTTATTTTCGATTTAAAATTATGCTTACGGGTTGCGTTTATACATAAATAGAGACGGACTATTTATATGCATAATTAGAGAAGAACTATTTATATGAATAATTAGGGGACAAACGCCTGAATTAAAAAGGTCTATGTATATGCATAATTAGAATGGTCTTATATGCATAATTAGGAACGGTATGTTTATATGCAAAATAGGAACGGTCTGTTTATATGTACAATTAGGAAAGGTCTGTTTACATGCACAATCAGGAACGGACTGTTTATATGTACAATTAGGAAAGGTCTGTTTACATGTACAATTAGGAACGGACTGCTTACATGTACAATTAGGAACGAACTGTTTACATGTACAATTAGGAACGGACTGTTTACATGTACAATTAGGAACGGACTGTTTACATGTACAATTAGGAACGGACTGTTTACATGTACAATTAGGACCGGACTGTTTACATGTACAATTAGGAACGGACTGTTTACATGTACAATTAGGAAAGGTCTGTTTACATGTACAATTAGGAACGGACTGTTTACATGTACAATTAGAAAAGGTCTGCTTACACGTACAATTAGGAACGGACTGTTTACATGTACAATTAGGAACGGACTGTTTACATGTACAATTAGGACCGAACTGTTTACATGTACAATTAGGAACGGACTGTTTACATGTACAATTAGGAAAGGTCTGTTTACATGTACAATTAGGAACGGACTGTTTACATGTACAATTAGAAAAGGTCTGCTTACATGTACAATTAGGAACGGACTGCTTACATGTACAATTAGGAACGGACTGCTTACATGTACAATTAGGAACGGACTGCTTACATGTACAATTAGGAACGGACTGCTTACATGTAAAACTAAGAACGGACTGTTTACATGTACAATTAGGAACGGACTGTTTACATCTACAATTAGGAACGGACTGCTTACATGTACAATTAGGAACAGACTGTTTACATGTACACCTAGGAAAGGTCTGTTTACATGTACAATTAGGAACGGACTGCTTACATGTACAATTAGGAACGAACTGTTTACATGTACAATTAGGAACGGACTGTTTACATGTACAATTAGGAAAGGTCTGCTTACATGTACAATTAGGAACGGACTGTTTACATGTACAATTAGGACCGGACTGTTTACATGTACAATTAGGACCGGACTGTTTACATGTACAATTAGGAACGGACTGTTTACATGTACAATAAGGAAAGGTCTGTTTACATGTACAATTAGGAACGGACTGTTTACATGTACAATTAGGAAAGGTCTGCTTACATGTACAATTAGGAACGGACTGCTTACATGTACAATTAGGAACGGACTGCTTACATGTACAATTAGGAACGGACTGCTTACATGTACAATTAGGAACGGACTGTTTACATGTACAATTAGGAACGGGCTGTTTACATGTACAATTAGGAACGGACTGCTTACATGTACAATTAGGAACGGACTGTTTACATGTACAATTAGGAACGGACTGTTTACATGTACAATTAGGAACGGACTGTTTACATGTACAATTAGGAACGGACTGTTTACATGTACAATTAGGAACGGGCTGTTTACATGTACAATTAGGAACGGACTGTTTACATGTACAATTAGGAACGGACTGTTAACATGCATGATTAGTAACAACCTTTTTTATATGCACAATTAGCGATAGAATGTGTATATGCATATTCGCTGTTTATATGCATATTTATTATTTGCAGAATTAGCGACGCACTGTATGTCCATAATTATGACGATTTATTTATATACAGACTGTTTATATGCATAGTTACCAACGGACTGTCTATTTGATTAATTGGTGAAGGAGTATTTGTTTATTTAAATACAGGTGATACAGAGTTTGTGTATGCCCCCCAGCGCGGAATGTACATGACCCCAAACCCGGTCCCAGAGGCGGAGAAGATTGAACAATCAGGGGCGCCCTTTGTCTTTGCATATGATGGCCCTGCAACCCCTAACTCGGAACTGGATAACCCGATCCCGTCATCGGAACCGGAAATTCACAGTGAAGAATAACCTATGTTTGTTAATGACGTCACAGTCTAGCATACTATATAACACTGAACGCGTGGTTATTGAACAATGTTCAATCACGTATTGTTTGTAGTTTGAGAGTACAGTAGTATTAAATACACATTTGCATTAGTGTTGTCTTGCATGTAAAATCACAGGTGTAAAACCTTGGCTTATAGTTACATAAAATATTTTTAAAATATTACATTTCGCATTGTATTTGTTTACTGATCAGCAAATATATAATATTTTAGAGTGATAAATTAATGGCATAATCTATCTTTTGTGATACTCTGCTTCCAATTTAGTGCTAAAGATTAGACTACCTATTAGACTATTTGACACTTATCACAACCCATTGCAAACACTGGTATATACAATTTATTGGTTTTGTATTTATAATAGTATTGTTATTCATATATATATGTAATTCATGCTTTATTTTGAAATTGAGGTTCTGTATTTTTTATTCATCGAAGATAATAAATAAGGGACGGTGTATTTCACAATTATGGCCTTATTTGCATCATCACGTTAATTGCAATTCATACAATTCATATTGAATATGCTATTATGAGTAAAAACTGTTATATGTTCTATTCTCATATTTTTTTAGAGATATTGTAATTTTTAATGTCGTGGTGGCTCTTGTGCAGAGTCAACTACGTGTTATATACTGTTCTATTTGCTCAGTGACAATGGTCACTAAGGGGAAAGTTAAGGTTTACCACGCCCAAGTGGTAAGACACAGGGTCTCTTCAAACGTATATATAACTGTTATGTTATTAAAACATTAACATATCAAAATAAACGTGTACTGTGTACATGATACCCCAGCAGATTAAGTCTATATATGGAAAGATATTTTGGTTGGTGATGCAAGCACGTTAGTCACCCGACGAAAACATCAATATGACGGCCATTTTTCAAGATGCCGACAGTCTACACCAAAATATTGCATATTCCTTCTTTGATCGTTTGTTAAAAATGATCTCTGTTTTTAATATTTTCGGAATTCATGATTATGTTGTCTTCCAAACATGATGAAATACATTTGTGAATAGTTACATTATGAAAATAGCCCCCACAAATCTAGAGTAAGTGTTCAGTATCCAATAATTTGTTTTGTGCTTTTGTTCCTAATTGAATGAAACACTGCTTATTCATTATTGATGAGTATTGTGTACTGTTTTAATCATCAAGAGATATTTATTTAAAAGAGTGACAGTCGAAGGCACAACCAGGACATACTGGTGATGTCACTGCTGTTAAACTCAGCGTGGGATCCAATATTAGTTTTACTATTTTTTGTAATGTAAATTGTTTCAAATGCTACCCTATGAAGCCCTACTAATTATTATATTAAAGGCAGTAAAGTAATATTAATAAGGTAGCAACACCTGAATGGACATGATGTGTCAGCGCGGGATAGCCGAGCCAAGGGTAATGGGACAATTGTTACACCGGATGGTATAAATTTCGCAAATGCCTCACTAGCTAAGGTACTATGAACCACTCTTCTGAGTTCCGACATATCGGTTAGAATCGTCCTTCCTTATCCACTAAAAAAACAGATAACCATCCTGACTCGCTCCATCAGGTAAATTGCCCAGAGAGGCATCACTGAATACAAACAGGGATAACTTGTCATCATCTGAGTGTTGAAACTTTAGAAGTAGATTTTCTGACTTCACCTTTCTGATGAATTTATTTGAATCCAGAAGATCTCTCACTTTTCAATTCTTGATACTTGCACCTAAGTTCATTGCGTCAAAAAGAATACCAGGACTGCTTTGATGTGCAACCCAAAGAATCTGCCCACGTCAGTAACTTTGTCTATTTAACTGTCAGATTTTTTTCTTTCCGCTCCACCCTGCTTTTATGAAACTGAATAGGCGTCAAATTGGCTACATAATTATCCTGATCGAGGTAGACGTGATCTTCACTACTTGCAAGACCCGAGCCTACATACTGAAACGCATCACAGTCCTCTTTTCTAATATTGAATTTGGATCTAATAGAATCAATAACTGTTGATATTTTTTTTATGTTTACAATTCACCACAATACCTGGCATCAGTCTCAGCGATTCAAAATTACTTATGATTGAGGAATTATCTGCATCAGTATGTTGATTGCTAAACTGTTCTCCACGCTTGGTATCTACGCTTGATGTTGCTCTTCAACATTCATCGCTTTCTGTTTTACTTAACTTCTCACTTATTTCGCTGTCTTCAGCATCAACATCTTTGGTACGACTAGTAGCGTCCACTTGCAGGTTTTCTTTGGTGTCTATTTCTCTTGTTTGTCTGATATTCTGCAGTCTGCATTGGTGTACCCGAACCATTGTTCTCCAATGTCTCACAAACACTACTGCTCCTTCTTGATCAATCACCGTTCCAGGCCCCTTCCATTCTGGGTTATCAGGACGTTTGTAATATACCTTGTCATCAGTGGTGTACGGGTCTGTTGTTGAACGTGTCTGTTTCCAAATCTCTCCTAATTCGTTCCGAGCATTTAAGCAGTGAAAGCTTTTCTAGCTTCATATAGGGCAGTAATGTGTTTGGCTACCTCTTTGCTCTTGTGGTTCCTTCTAATGCTGAAGGTTCATCGATAGGCTATTTTCCACTTCGGTCGAGATCTCGTGAGACCGTTACATTTACCTAGCAACCGGTTGCTAGTCATGTGATACAGGTCAAGCTTTGAACAAAAATAGCGCTAAATCGTGCGTATACCTAGTGTTGTGCGTTACATTTCCGAGTGATTCATTGCTGCAATTAGTTTCACTTTTTCGACCATGGCTGACTTCAACAGAATGGCCATGCCACAGCTCAAAGACTTCCTGCGTAAACTATAAAGAGAATATTCTTCTTGTAATCGCTAAAGCTGCACACGATTTGGAGCTCAAGGAAGACCCCGATTTTTTACGCCATGATCCTAAAAAAATACGTCGCTTCAAGACTTAGCAAACTTGGTTGCAATTTCATCGATTCTTTGAAACTATTCGGTCTGTCCGATGATTTAATGTGTTATCTATGACCGGAAAAAGCTCAGGGCTCAAAAATCGTGCGAAGATTTTAAGTTGTTTGGCGATGAGTATGTTCAAATGTAATATCTGTCTGTGTACTGGCATCACATGCTAAAGGCACATACTTCATATTACCGCTACTTTCACCATTACTAGCGTGAACAGCTTTTCCTCACAAATAACGGGAAACAGCAAATAATGCATGATTTACATATTACATGTAGTTCATATGGATAACAGGAATCTGTCGACACTCCATGATACGCACAAACATCCACACAAATACATACATGTCCTGGATGGTTCTGTGTCGACCAAAATTGTCTGTCTGAGAACAGGCACTGCACTTTTCAGACTGCGCTTTTGGTTTCGGGAATCGCAACAAAAAAAACCCCAAAAACAGTATTCATGTCATTTTTGTACTGAAAGCGAGGATCACTCTTACATTCGCCGTAAGCGCGCTGTCTGACTCTCATTGGGAAAGATATTGTTTTGAGATGAGGTTTACAACACGTAGGACAATGTAGTTGCTACCATATTGACCTGTATCACGTGACTCAATCGGTTGCTAAGGTGCTTAAACCGTGGTCACGCGTGATCTCGCAGCTTGCGAAAAATGGCTTATTAGCGTGAATGGCAATTTGGATTCCTTCCATAAAGTTGATACGCGCTAAAACTATTTTTGCCCATCAGTGCTCACTTCAATGTAGCTTCCCAATCTTGGTTCCTATCTAGCTTGAGTTTTCTCATTATATTGATTGTATTTCCAACAAAACATTGGACCATGGATAATATTCTGCTGTTGTTGTCACCTCCATGTTGAAGAGTTGCACACATGTCTCCAACTTTATCATTATTTAATTCTCCTCCGTTATCCATCTCTTTGGTGCCCCATATATGCTTATCCAGTTGAGGATGATTTTTTGAACAGACAGTGTGGGATGTACAAGTACATGGACTAGTACTTCCGCCTATCAGCATTTAACATTGGATAACAAAGGTGAGGTGCAGAAGAAATTCCCATTACATTTGAAAGCTAAAAAAGTTCCTGAACTACCTGACTCATTTACCAACATACCACTGGGTTTTTTTCACTGAAAAACATCCAAGCCTTGAAAGTTCCTGTTTCAGTTTCATCTTTACAACTTCAGCCATAATATGAATGGTTACAAAAGATCGGTATCATTGAATCCGTAACCGAGCATGAACATTTTTGCCCACAATCACAATCAGACTTGTTATAGATAAAGCTAGTGATATTGTGTCTGTTTTGAACCCTGGAAAGATTCCTGTGATTGTTGGTGATCAGCCTATCTAGAGAATAGCCACAATATCAATGGCACTAGCCAGAACGTTATGGTGAAGACAAGTTCATCATTATGTTTGAAGCGTTGCATAATTTGCAATGGCAGCATTTAATATACCAGGTACCATCTTGCTGTTTATATAAACTTCTAAATGAGGCCTATACAAATTGCACTACAGAGAGAAAATGAGAGCAGACTTTCCAAAGAAGACTGGGTGAAGAACCCTGAATCGGACAGAACACAGTTTCAGTTTAGAATTTGATCCTGCATATAGAAATGACCATATTTTCGCTGATTCACTCTTTTCGAGGGGCAGACTTTTTGCTTTACCGACAGTCTCGACAAGAATTGTTTCCATATTTTTTTGCCAACAACAATAATAATTAAGCTGCCAATTCACTTAAGATATATGATTTGTTTAGAATGGCTCCCTTGAATGGTAGTTGAATTCAGAACCGAAAAATGTGTGGTTCACAAATGAAGTGCTCTTTCTGCTCTGGCAATACTTCAGGCGCATAAGCAATCCAATGCTGTGAGCGAAGGTGATGGAAGTGCAGTGGGAATAACAGAGGGTTCCCCTGAATTGAGAACATGGATGGTAGCTGGTCCCGAAGTCAGTTTTCTGTGTAGGGAGAACAATGACAAAGAAGAGGTTCAGCACCATGAGGAGGAGACTGGTGAACATCCTACCCTGAACACCAGAAAATGTTTTAAAAAGGTCTTGAAGTTGGACAAGACTGTGAATTGTATTGTCCAATAAAGAGGAAGCATCAAAAGCATCCTCAATAGAACGGATGCAGAAGAATATTAAAGATTACTGTCAGTTGTTTTAAAATGTTTATTTCATGCCAGTCACAAGAGTGCAATTTAAACGATTTTTTCAAACACGAAATGTATTTTTCGCATTTATTTTATTACCAAGTTTACGCCAGCTAACTGTAGTTGGATATACGATGTAATTTGAGCAATTTTACCCAGCCTTTAAAGTTATTCTCATTTCATTGTTTCATGGCATTTATTTGATCTAATGACATCAGGCTCATTATAATCAACAGAAGTAGTGCTATTATATCATCACTTATTGAAATAAATTCATGATCCGTGACGAGACAGAATAAAGACGAGGAGAAACCTGCTGATTCCATGATATTCCATTCCGTATTTGTCATACATAAAAGACGCGATGAACAATACAATGACTGTATTATACCCATATGACAGCGCCATCTCACAGAGGACTTAGCAAAGTGTCAACCATACACCTGTCCACGGTTATTGTACGGACGATTCATGGCTTATGAAAAACACACCGTGGGAAATATAAGCCTCGCTCTTCTTGTTATTGGTTTGTTAATGCTAGTCACTGGAATACTGAGTTTCGTGTTCGCAACAGTCACGGGATGGCCAAGAGCTTTCACGCCGTTATGGACGGCAATTCTGGTAAATCATTCAAATATACGTCATATATTTTAAATATTGTTATCCACAGTATGTACAAAATTGCGATAAGGGAGACATACCTGTTATTGTTTGTTTTTGATTTTTGTTTTGTTTTTGCAGTCGTAGTCAATAGTAGGGTTTCCAACTTTAACCGGACATCCATTGTTTAATGTTTCACATCGCGGTCTGTCAGCTACAGTGGTTGTTTCTTACGAATTAATTACGCTCTAAAAATGGTTTACGTGTCTTGAATGATTTATAATTATAAACAAATACATTACATTGGTATAGGGATCTTTGGAAGCAAGTAGTGCAAACTATTTCTCGCTGGTATGAAATATTCTACATTTGCGGCGGAACCAAACTTACATGTTTACATAGAGAACAGAACAACAAAATTACACACATCCTCGACTATTGAAAAATCATTTTTCGCCACAATAAGAACAAACCCTGTCTTAAAATAGCATTTTTGTTTGAATTTTGGCTCCTTTCCACTACCAGCTGGTGACCTGTATATATCTAAGTGTTGCCAAATTTTGAAACGTATGCAAATGAGGATAAATAATTATAATACACGGATTGTTTGTAGGTTATTGTTGATGGTATATAACACATTTAATTTAATTTAACACATTTAATAACATATTTCACTTCATAATACCAACTAATTATAGTATTTGTTATTTCTATTGTGTCTATCACACTGTGTTTTAACCAAACCTTATACTACTGAACTCCTCACCAGCTCTCAGTCTAGCAATGCTATTTTTGGCTGCGATTAGTTTTTTGTATGACAGGGTGGGTCAGGTCAGAATGGGGTAAAACATTTAACCTTTACTAATTCCATCCGATTATATTGTTAGTATGCACGCAGTGACTAAATTTAACTTGTTTGCATTATATGAAAATCACATTTATAATTTATTCTGTTATATTATAGTACTATGTTTTAGCGAATTTAAGTTTGGTTCTGAAATAAAAATGTGCATCTACAAATACTGTGAATTTCTCTCGAGTCAAATCGTGATGATTTATCAATTTGCATCCCAATGTTTATCCCTTATTTGTTTATCAAGGCTATCGCGATTGGTAGTGTTGGACTCCATGCATCGAGAAATGACAGGGTATACACAATTGTAAGTACGCCTTTCACAACTCACATTATTAATATCATTTTAAGGTGGACCATTACTCATAATTTCTGAGAAAGTTGGTAACACATCTGTGAGATTGTTCACTTCTTTACTATGTCCAATCAGTTTTTATTTACTATAGTTATTAACCGATTGTTAATGTGTACACTATTTTGTGAACATTGGTCAAATATATTACAAATTGATATTTTAGAACAATTTCATAGAGCACAATGTTACAGAAGGATAGCATGTATTATCTGCTTTTTAAAATCCAACTGTAAGAAAAATTCATAATAGCAAATGTTTCAGCCAATGAATTGAGAATTGCCATAATAACTCCACAAAAGTTCTAATACCACATAATAATATCATTTAAGTCAACATTTTAATAAAACATAAGTAATATCCAGGGCATGTTCAATTATGAGCATGCTTCTACCTTGTGAAGGGTAATGAGCTAAAATATAAATGTTGTACAATTCACAGGAATACTGCAGCGGTAAGGGGTCTCTTGTATTCATGAGACCGATTATACAACTACCTAACGCTTTTTCTTTCGCTTAACACGTGATCATAAATATAATAATATTGCTGTGATTCATTTAGTACACATATTTATTCACATTCATTATTTATTCTCGCATGTTGTGTTACGTTCCTTAGAGCAAGTTTTTCCGAATATCCAACATGGTGTTAATATTTTCTTCAATTGTATGCTTTATAACTGTAATCACCGACCTAGTCCGAGGGACGGATGAGTTCGTCTTTGAAACACATATAGCTGGGGTAATACTGTTCTCCATACTTGTGGCGCTAGCCTTCGCGTCGCTGATCACATCAGGTATCGCCGTCAGCAGCAGAGCAAATGTACCGGAGAGGGTAAGTGAAATCAATGGTTGAGTTAGTAAAATGGTGGCGAATATTACATATATCTGCATCATATTTATTTATTTATTCATTCATTTATTTAACTCACTGATCAGTTATTTTCTATAGTTTTTGCCTGACGAAATAATATTTATGCAAAATATTTTACATTTTTTTATTTCAGGTAGTTGTTATTCAAGGACCCCTACCACATGTATACACATCAACATCGCCACCAATCGGTGAGTATTCAAATATTTTGTTTTGCGCACACAGGTCAAATGTTAAAAGTTAAAAAAATAATTATATCTGCATGTTATTTATTGAGTATGGTCGAACTTATAGTTATACTTTGTGTTATATATTACTATGGTAACAACCTATATGCTACCATTTTATAATAATTTTCATAATGTTTCAACAACTGGTGACTCTTTGGTGCTGCTCAGCCAATGCATCTTACTTGTTTTCAGTTACAAATGAACCTGCATTTACGTATTCATCACAACCATCGGTACCACAGCAGTCATCGCAACACTATTCATCACAACCATCGGTACCACAGCAGTCATCGCAACACTATTTACCAGAACATTTCAGAACTGTATATAACTGAACTACATAAAAGTTCCTGAGATGCGCCAAGAAGAGCCGAATCATGGAGATTTCTAATATTCAAAATAACAATAAGCATTATGTCTATGTAATATTTAATGTATACATAAGAACAGTAGATTAGTAACAGATGTTTACTGCACACGATAAACCTTTACATAAGTCGCGCCCTCTAGCGCTTCTAAGATATATTAGACCACTTTCACTGAAATCGGTGATACGTAGTTTTGCATCCCCACGCACCGGATATGTATTGTGTATTGTGCTGAGGGATGTACTAATCGACGTGATATAAGTAAGATTTGCTTTCATCAAATATCAACAGACTGACACTGTTGCATTTTACGACGTATTGCTTGCACTTACGTCTCGCTATCAGGAAAGTGGTCTATAACTATTTATACTAGCCGTTAGCAATGTCATTACATTATTTAAATATTATTATCAAAATATTTTCAATCAATTACTTATTTCAATTTTGTTTGCAATTATTTGCTGACTCGGTAGGGAGTGTAGGACCAGGACTTGTCAAAAAGCAATAATGAACGCCGCGACTAGATTGGAGAGTTTGCCTCATGTCACGCCATTGTCTATGTCGTAGTCTTCAATTTGGGTGCGAACGATTTCGAGATCGAGTACCGCAAGTCTTATCCTTTTCCCATAGGCTTTTGCGCTTTACGCACTAGCATTTTTGCCACAGGCAACCTTCAATGTTGGTGGTCAATCGTCTCACTATGCACGTTTCGCCAGTTGTTTTACCTGAAAATGTACCACACAACATAAAATAAATTGACAACAAATTATTTATTAATGTATGACTTCTCTAAAACCCTAAATTTAATGGCGAAACACTAATCGATGTATACATTACTCAGACGGCATATGTTAAAATGTTAAGGCTACTGTGCTAAGCTAACAACTCTAGTTTATTTTTTTAATTTTATTTTCATGTTATTGAAGGAATACCAACTTGTTGTCAAGCTGACACATTGATTTTTCATGGTTTAATGGTGCTATTAAATTACGAATGGTAATAGAATAAAAATTGCATTGAAACAATATTATGATGTGAACGTAACCTATATCATGAAATCCTTATTGTTTAGATTTATTATTGACAGTATATCAACCGAATAAATACAAATATAGTAGAATGTCTTTCACTCACATGACATGGAGCAACAGCATGTGTCACTTAGTACAAATCAAAGAAGATGTTTGAAAAAAGGGGCAATAATAAATTAACTCCACTTCAATCTAATAAAAAGTCTGACAATGGAGAAGCAGTGCACAGCAAATGCACAACCACTATCAACTATCAAATCATCTTTTGAGGAATAGACTAAGCTTGGTCAAAAAATAGATACCTTGAAAAGAAATTGAACAATTGAAATTATCTGAAGAAGTACAATACGAGTACCGCAGAAAATGTTATCAGTCTCTACGTCATAAGCTGAATCTAACAAAGTTTGAAAAGAAAGTAAGTTTATCTTCCTCCAGGAAAGCCTCCTCATCTAAAAGAAGGAAACTATTTGACCAAAACATGTGTGTTTTCTGTCAACATGATGACAAAACAGCTCTATATAGTGTGAGTTGGGAGGAAACTTAACTATTATAGATATTAAAGCATCAAGTCAAAATCAAGAATTCTGTACCAGGTTTACATTTCTCAACGAGGATTTAGATGCTTTTGCCAAAAATGTGAAATACTACATCAACTGTTTACGAAAAGAGACACAAGCAATTGAGTCATCTAGCTGTGGAATTTACATCACTTCAAAAAAAAAAAAAAAAAAAAAAAAAAACTATTGGAAAAGCTACTATTTACATAAAAATAGCAAGTATAGTAGAAATTGTAGTCACAGATAATGAAAACTGTGAATCATACTTCCCCAGTGTTGATATGAATTCCATACATAATACTTACAAATGTCTGGTTGAAAGAGAAGGATGTGACATTCAAACCAAGAAGCCATTTACAAACGACATATCAAAAACATCCTGCTTGAAAGAATACCTGAAATTGAATTTGCAAAACTTGGAACAAAACCAGAAATAGTATTCTCAAGAGTTTACCAAGGAAAAGCAAGATGGCCATGTACAAGGCATCCAGGATTATTTGCAACTATTGCAGACTTGATTTGCAGTATGCTACAATATTAGATTAACTCCAGTATTATTAGTACTTTCTTATTGTGAAAAGCCGATTTCTATTGCCACTACGTTGTCAAAGTTGTTGGAATTAATGTTTTTAAAACAATTAATGGTCTTTATTACCATAACTGTCAAAAGAAGCTTATCACAAAAACAGCACCCACGATGTAAACCTATTCACGTCACAGTAGTCCGTTTATGAATTGTATAGTGCTTACCCAATGTTTACAGTAAAAATACGTGATTTCCTATAAAAAGAATCGATATAAACAAATATATCAGGATTACATGTTCCTTTACTATGATGTCATTTCTCCAATTAGATTGCAATCATCATATTTCTAGTGATATTTGTTTGAAGTGCGTAATCAAGCTAGAAACAACAGGTTCGGTTTGCATATTATTGATGAGAAACAAAATACGATTACGCATGCGCATTGTCAATATATCGACATTTTACAACTCGTATACAGACTCTCGGTAATGACGTAGCGTACATGTCGAACAGTCAAATTACTGCTGTATACCACAAACTGGCGACGGACTAATGGCTTACACTAGACATACTGTGAAGAGGATTAGTATTGCGCTCCTAGTTGTTGGTTCTCTCATGGTAGTGTTTGGAGTAGTGAGTCTGTTATTTGTTGTTGTCCCTGGTTGGCCACGTGACTCCGCCGCGCCTATATGGACGGGTGCTCTGGTAAATTTACAAATACTGTTATTTTTATTTGTTTTGTGTTGAGGTAGAAAAAAACAAAACACATTCATGTTCTGTGTTATACTTAGGTAATGATCTGCTATAATTTGGTTATTTTATATTTTGGGAATGAACAGACAATCGTATGCACAATGTCAATAGTAATGAGTTGTATTCAGGTGATGTCCTGTTTTAAAATGTCAGTGTCCAACTGAACAACTCTAATTGGCGATGAAAACATCCCTGTGTTGTTTATTTGCAATGACGTACTTATGTTTGATTTAAACAATTTTAATCCTTCGTCACATCATTCGAGATTTGTTGTTTTCAAGGTTATTTATTAAAATAAAACGTTTGATCATCGCATTGTGTGTATGTCGCAACTCTTCACCACGACGCACCACGGTTATCAATGATATCCGTTCTCTTATTCTATCTACGACGACTTATATTATAGCGATACGATTTTGTTTGAAATATGAGCCACGGGAGTGTTCTCAGCATGGTATACGCATCGTAACCTGCCCGCTCACAAATGGGGATTACAGTATTCATCTGCAGAGTACCTAAATTTAGAATTGTAAACCTGTTTATGAAAGCGACATCGAAACCATTTTTTTCAGTGGCCATATTGGTGTATAAAACACACCGTGTAGAACACGCAGTCATGGTGATCTCTCTAATATAAAATTTTACATTATTTGGTACCCCAATTACGATACACTCAAGTATATGTATCCCGATTCGGAATCACAACGTTGTTTTCGTTGACATCCGATAGCACTAGTAGTTTCGAAATGCTCTCAATTGTCCAACGCGTTTTGTAAACCATGCATCACGATATATACAATAGTTATGATTTCATCCTTAGTGGAGGATTTTATAGAGCAAGGAATGTTTGTTATCATTACGAGTCACATTTTGTATTATTGTTATTAACTAATATAAAGTTGTCATTTCTCTAGGCCATCGCAATTGGCGCTGTTGGTATTCACTCAGCGAGAACAAATCGAATACATTCCGTGGTAAGTCGAGTCTACTGTCATGATTTATTTTTATTTGTCTAAAGATCAGTCACCGATACGACTAGATAGTTGAGTTCTAGTGGACAGCTGGTTAATATCATTTAACACATTTCCATAACCTGTTAACATTTAAGCTTATACGAGGTCATTGACGGAACTTGACTCAGCGAATGGAACTAATTGCGATATACAGCCAAATCAAAGTCAGCTTGGACGTTCAGTTGTGAGACATGACAAAATAAACGGTGCCAGCGATAAATTTCGCCAATGAAAGAACAAAATAAACGCAACCAAAGGCGCCGACCACGCGCGTTGGAAATAAATAGAACACGTTGCGACGAGAAATCTCACCTGCATCTTTCACTCACGCAAACGCATACACATGCTATTTCCATATATTGAATACGTTGGCAACTTGAAAGCAACAGTCTCACACTGAATACATATGTTTAACAATTATCAAACTAAACATTCAATGAAGCAGACTGCGACGATTAAGGCGAAAAGACAAGGCTAAGACGAAAAATGAATTGAATATCCATCTTTTGAAAAAATCAGCTAAACGGTGAATTGGCGAGTTATCAACGAAGACGACCGGACGTCTCCGGTCATGAACTGGCTGGTTCGAATTTATCCACTTTTACAGTGATGAATATTGCGTTCGAGTTGAGTTACTAGTAATTACAAGCCTGATTTACATTTTTCTTGTGTTTTTTTTGTCAATGTATTAAATATAAGTGCCCTGGGAAATAGCATAATTATATTGCGTGAGTGAAAGGGGCTGCCAGAAAGAGTGTGTGTCACAACGCGTTCTATTTATTTCCAACGCGCGTGGTCGGCCCCTCTGATTGCGTTTATTTTGTATTTTTATTTTCGAAATGTATCACTGGCTGCGTGTTTTTTATACGTCTCGCAACTGAAAGTCTAAGCTGACCTTGTTTTAGCTGTAATCGTCGCCAATCTGTCTACTATTTCTGACAATTTCTTAGGTGTAGATTTCCCGTTATAGCAGGCGATTAATCAGTAGATATGACGTGTCCAGTACGTTGTGTGATTGGCTGTATGATTGAAAGCTACGCCTTATACCAGTAGTCTTTATACTCCCTTGTAATTGGCTGGTCTTAGTTAGTTAGTTAGAGAGTTCCGACGTGGCGCTGAGATGAGAGGTTGAAACGATACGAGTATCTGTGTGTTTTGTTCAGTGAAAAGGTGGTGAATTGGCCGAACCCTGGTACCTCAGAATTGGTTTAATAATACGATAATTAAACCTTGATACTACTGTAGGGCGTGGTGCGGTGAATATTAATGAGTAAACCATATCCAGCTTTAAATCGCTATGAATATTGTATTTATTTTATTTGCCGAGACGCTACTCTAAAGAAGGCATTTCAAGATATTTACTGCTATTACCGCAGCGTACACTCAACGGACACGCTATATTGTCCTCGGTTGTAACTTATCAACCCACTCTCTAAACCCATTACATATGATAAAACTAACTTCATTATTGATTGCTTACATATTCAGGGCGTCTTTTTCATGGTGTTCAACTTAGTGTTGATACTATGCTCTTTATTCAGTCTTATATCTGTTATCATGGGAGTTATTGATACCGTGAAGGAATTCGTTTTCAAGACACGAATAGGGAGTGTTGGCATTTATATTGTGGTTGCCATTTTGTCGTTTGTGTCACTTGTGACGTCATGTCTCGCGGTAAATAATAGAGAGAGATCTCCAGACAAGGTAAGTTGTCGGCATTTGTCAACAAAATAAGTGGCGTTTTGAGTTTCGTTATTTAAGATATATGGGGAACTATAGGAGAACATGATGCCCCAGGGTTTGACTGAACCCCACCAAATCTGTTCTAAACGTTTGGAATTTCGGCATTCCCATGATACATTCCATGGTAGGAAAAAGTAAAAAGAGGAAAGAGGAAAAGACTCAGACAGTATGGCGTCGCATCGACCTCCACTGCGCGTCGGTCGACACTACTGATGTAATGTCTTCGTGCATATGTTGCAGTATCCTCGTAAAAACCTCATATTGTGATGTATCATGACCTGAAAACGTTGTTTTGCAGCAAATTTGTTTTGGATATGTTCAATATCAAACATTGCACATGCGTATTAATTTTGTCATAGAAAATAACGGTATATATGCATACATTTTAGACTATGATATCTCATAATACAATGTGTTTATCAATATGCAATACCAAATATGTATCTTTTCGTGACATTGCATCTAAATCGCGTTTGATTCGCATACATCCAT